ACGATTGGTGAGTTGAAGACCACGTTCTTGAACAAACACTAGAAGTGCTTTCCCCGTGTGGCGAACATACTGACAAGTGTTTCTTGAGCTCTGGGCTGGTTCACCTGCGCGCTCCGACAAATGTGGGGAAGTGGCTATGTAGGTGACCTATGTCATTTCCCATTTCCGGTTCCAGGTTAGTGTCTCAGCAGCATAGCATTCCTTAGTTACGTAAAGAAAAAACAAAATGCAGGCTCGCATCAAGATCCGCGTCTTTTCGCAGTGGAGCAGGGAAAAAAAGGCTTGAAAGTGGCTTCGAGTCTGTTGTGCAAGATACTTTGCGATGCTGAAAGGTAGTAGTTTTGGAATGTTGGGACCTGTTCTACAAGCTATGTCCAAATGCTGAAAAATGGAATTGATTCGTGAGGGGGATGTTCTATCATTCTATCTCTTACCCGCTATTCATTCTCAAGGGCAAGCGGCAAACGGTATTCTACATATCTTTTTCGCGGTCGCTATGGAATATTCTAGCAGGTCAGTACTTGATTTCTCCCACTTGCCCCGCATGTGTGCATCTATTCTTTCCGGGCGAAAAGGGGCACGTGGGGGTTGTTTTCTGAACTGGGAATGGCACATCTGCTTTCCATCGCGGAAAATCTGCTGGCCCGAGTGCTGGGTTGAAGACTTCCTCTATAATGAATATGATGATTATGCCTGCCTTGTTCTACAAGCTCTAGCTTCCATATATGTACAGTGTACAGAGTACGGAGAAGTTGACTCATGCAGGCTTCTGCTTTTCAAAGAGAGAATCGCCACTCCACAGAACTGTGCGCCGTGCCTGCAGTGGCTAGAGCCTCTTCCTTTCAAACCAACCAATTTGCACTGGGCATTCAAGGCATTGAAAAGCAATGATTGCAATGGAAAAAGAACATCTGGTTGCTTGTCTTCCCATTCTTCAAAGATGCATGTTGTTAGGCCAGCAAGAGAGTGACGAGACTCAGTGCACCCACCAACCGGTCTAGCAACCAACCGGTCTCAGCGTTCGGTCGAGCAACTCGGACCGTCGAGCAACTTCACAACCAATCACTTCTGGCCGGGCTTCGGGCGTGTGACTCCTTCCCCCAAAGTTTTTCGTGGTGCAATGGTGAACGTCTCACTTTTTTGGGGCCAGTGCCTTCTTCTCAGGCTCTGCAATGGCTTCGCTGGTTGCCTTGGGACTGAGAAACTTCCCCAGAAATGCCACATCTGTAGGTCAGAAGAGTCAGAAGTTACTTATATATAACAAATAACAGGACGTTGCTGGCTCACTAATTTGAGAACAGTGATGGCAGCTTTCAACAATGTGTGCGTGCGTGTTTGTTCGCAATCATGTTGCTGCAGTTGCTCCAACACGTGGAACCACCACCAGGATGTCTGAACCAATTCCATAAGCTCACAAAACTTCAGACAGTGTTCTGACCTGAGACTATCTCCAAGCGAATAATTCTCAATACCACCATAGAGTCATTCACCGCGGATCATCAAATCAAACAAACACGTTACACAGCTGCAACTTTGGAGATACCATGCTTGACCTCCCAAGTTTTGAAATGCAGAACCCCACACCCTCACCAGCAGCCCAGCCTCTACTGGCACAGGTGCCGGCGCAGAAGCCGGAGGCTCCACCGGGGGCATCTCCTCCGGGGGCGTCTCCGCCGGGGGCGTCTCGGCTGCGGGCGCCTCCGTTGGAGCCTTCACTTCGGTGCCGATCTCTGTCGTCTCCAAAGTGCTCGCTGCCTCCGCGCTCTGCGCAGGTGCTTCCTGCCGAGTCGAAGCGGTATATAAACCCCCCTTGTTTTGTGGAACTCATTGGCAGAATTTGGAGGAAATCATAGGTCTACCAGATTTTACCAGTTGTCTATGCCCGCGCGCTGTGACGATTGCATGTCCTCCGCCACCTTTGGAGCATCCGTAGCTTCTTCAGGAGGCTTTGCATCTGCAGTTGCTTGCGACTCCTTGTTCTGCCAAAAAGTCTTGATGCGAAGCCTCCGATAGATTCCCAAAACAAAACCCATGTGACCAGGATTTTGCCGCTGTCAAGAAAACATCTGTCACCCAAATCAATGGAGAACATGGAGAGTGCTAAAGCTGCCTGTCTATAGAGTTAGTGCTGTGAGCAGAATGCAAACCAAAGGATCTCAGCCAGTAGCCACCGTTGCCTGTATATACGTAATACGAAGACCTCTGAAGACTCAAACTTGGGGGAACAACCTCAAATGCAGGAACAACCACGAACGCTCCTCGCCGAAGGGAGGCTCTTGCGGTGCCTCTGCCGAAGGAGGCTCCTCTTGGGGAGGCGACTTGGAGGCTCACAAAGCCCAAAACAGATGGTGCTGTGTTCAGTTCAATGCCTCCTTTACGCCTTTATGATGTCTTTTGCTGTTTTTTGGCCTCATGCCAACTGAGGATCTGCCCCAAGCACTTCTACCACCCTTCCCACATCCTGAGTCTCTGCTCCAAAGCCCGCGTCTGGTAGGCCCTTCCAGAAGATGAGCAAATGGAGGGCACAATTCTAGGCACAGCAACCCCTTCAAAAAATGAGGGGTGTTGGACACCTGTTCCGAAGTTGCTCTATTCTTTTGTGGCCCCGTGTTCGGCTTGCGTTTTGGCTTTCGCGCATGCTTTTGCTGACAGGGCTAATTTACATACACATTCCACAGGATGTTTTACTTATATACATGCAAATCATTTTCTAAATGGCTCGAATCTAAATGGAAGCTGTTGCAATCTTTCACAAGCTTGCGTGAACAGTGAACAGTAATAGTTTGCTTAAATCATTCTCGAGTCTTTCGTGTGTGTTTACTTTTTGGTGGAGGTATCTCATTACATTGATATCTCTTCAAGTTGTTACATGGGAGCTGTTGGTCGCTGCTCGATTGAGCTTGGGAGGGGGCCAAAGGCGGATAGGTAGAGTAATAGGGATAGGATGTTTTCGGAGTGCCTTCTATCTAGAGGGTTTGAGATGCTCAGCAGCCAAAAGCCATAGAGGCGAGCTAGAATAGAAACACCTTGCCAATCACTACATCACTACAAACGAGGCAATGTTCTTGTGATGGAGACCCCGAACCCCCCTCAAAAACCCGGACAATGGTCGCGTGAAATCTAGAAACCCAAGGCCAGCGGCTCTTGAGAATACATACATAGATACATACATTACATTAAATTACATTACATTACATTACAGTACAGTACAGTACATTACAGTACAATACAATACAATACATACGTAACATAACATAACATAACACTACGCTACACTAACTACATTGTACATTACATTACATAGATACATACAAACCAAACCATACCATGCCAAAACATAACATAACACAACAGAACAGAACATAGCATAACATAACATACATTATTCATGATTATACATGAATGTGCCTCCTTTGGCCGGACAAAGTAAAAAAATACAACACGCACACAAACTGTGGCACTGAGCTGATGTGACACTTCCAAATCAAAGTCCTGGGGCAGGACACCAAAAAGAGGTTTCCTATGTTTTCCCTATCTTGCCTCCGGAGCATCCTCTGCGTCCCTGACAAATTGCTGGATCATGAGGGAGGCACTTTACAGTGAAACTGAGAAATGGACCCAGCACAACCTTGAAGGCGTATAAAGCATGTTGGCTGAGAGAGTCTGTTGCACTTCAGAGAATTCCAGGACAGCTGGTCATGCTATATATCTTCAATGTGTGCAAAGGTAGCGAGGGAAAACGCATCAACCCCAATCTATTCAGGTAAACATTACATCGAAGTAAAAACTTGCTTCTTTGACTATTTGAGGAGGCTCCTCTCAAAAGGAATGCCATTATTCTTCACTTGGTAGGAGTGGAGTTCCTCTCTCAAACCGTCCGGGATCGTCTGGATGCTGATGTTGCTTGGAGAGTCTGACTAGTCGCTGGACAATGCAGGGGTCATCACTCCAAGACACGGCCCATGCAAACACGGCCCATGAAAACCAACGCCCACGAGAGTCAAGGGGAAGAGTCAAGGATGAGTGAGCTAGCAGCCATAGTGAGCGAAACAGTGTCGACTTACGAAGAACAAGGTCGTCAAAGAAAGAAATATATTGTATTATGGCGTATTAACTGACTATATATATAGTCTTATATAATATAATATACATAATTTATATATATATATATCATCTGATACAAGTTGAGCCTACTCTGAACAGTGGCCCTGACACCGTACTTCAAAGCTCGCCCGCCTGATTTCTCGCGGAGGCTCATACCTTGGTGATGCATCCCTCATCGACTCCTTTCCAACATCTGAACATATCCGAACATCCGGCATTGACAGAGGCCAAATTGGATGGCACTGCTATAGGCCGATGCAATCAGAACTTGTACCACAACTGTGAGGCAACGTCGTTGACCCTGGTCCTACCAAACTCAGGCTGATGCCACTCGACCGGGCAGCTGAGCTCGGCTTTTTGGCTAAAGATCTTCTCCGCAATGGAGCGATCCTTAAACCTGCGAAGGGTTTTCCGTGTCATGTTCACACCTTGTCCGTGTGGTCCAAAAGTGGACAAGCAAACCTGTATGTCATTGGTCAGGTTGCGAGTCAAACAGTCCTTGAGGATCATCGAACAAAGGGAATCTAAGTGGGTGAAACCTCCAACTTGCTGTCGCTTTTGGCTCAAAGACTGGTTCGCCACGAAATTGGCGAATCCATGTCAATGGCTCGAGGCTTGCACCTCTCAACACCTCTCAAGCTGCCCCCCTTCGGTGACGTTCTTTTCTCTCACTCTGCTGGGTCGGGTTCTCGCAAGGGCGGGCAGCGGGCATCTCCCTCCTCATACCTGGCTTGGGTCATTTGACGGATTGATACGCTTGGGCACAACAGCACATATAGTACTCTACGACAATTGATCTATCAGACAAAGTTGTTTTCTTGCAAAGGTAAAACGGAACATGACATCATGCAACATCCAATTTCAATGGCGAACAGGGCACGCCTGCACAAGAAGACTCACCTTTTTCCTGCCTTCTTGTCCACGGGGTCTGCCACATCACCCTTCTCTGTCAGCCAACTGGGTTCGTTGTTGAAATGAAGGGATCCCCCTGGTACCGACGAGCCCTTCATGACTTCTTGTAGTGACACCCCCAGGCGAGCAGCCTTGCGGGCCATCCGCTGTTCGTATTTCCGCCGGCAGTCCATCTCATAGGCTTGCTGTGCTCGTAGCTGCCTATCCTCCTCTTCTTTCTCCTTGCTCGCCTGGAAGGTTCCAGGAGCATCGCGATAACCTTCGGCCTTTGAAAGCATGCGTTGAACCTCGGAGAGGGATGAGGCGGCCTTGAAATCCTCCAAGAGTTGGTAGGTGGTAAGCTCAGACTTGGCCATCCGACGACAATGAAAAATCAAAGTGGACAATGGGGGCGAAGGTGGATATTTCTTGACAAAGGCCAAGTATTGGCGGGCTTTGGCCAAACCATCCTTTGGAACCTCCATTCTCTCCGTTTTTCTTTGATTCTGTTTTGCAACACGCTCCAAAAGACCCTTGCGTTCCTGCTTCAATTCCTTGCGCCGTCCGACCTTCTCTTCTTCTTGTGAGGAGAGAACAGCGCCAGTTGCCTTCCTTTGAAGCAAATTCTGCACTTGACGCATCTTCTTCTCAATCTTCCGTAGCTCCTTCTCCAATGTTCCAGTCTTGCACTCACCAGCGAACAAGCAAGGATCATCCAGCATGCCCTCTGCTGACATCACGCCATCTGCACCAGTGAGCTGAAGATTTGCGACAACATCAGACCAGGACTTCACATTCCCATTCGCCAGCACCGGGACCTTGACGTGTTTTTTGATGATCGCCACTTGATCCAAATGCGCTGGGCCATCTCTTCGGTGGGTCGGTGTGCCGCGGTACCGCGCGTGCACCGCAATCAAACTCGCGCCAGAAGCTTCCAGCTGTCTCACCAGCTGCAAAGTCTCTTCCAAGCGATCCAGCAAACGAATCTTGCAAAAGACCGGCACGGGAAGCGCCTGAGTCTTCAGTGGGAGGATTCATGAGTGAAGAGAAGGGAACGAGGGTCACCCGGTGCAAATCCACTCAGGTCAGATTGGTTCCTTGCAGTTTCTTTGTCGCTGAGGATTCAATTCTGATTATGGCCTCTATCTGTGTCAGTATTATTGGCCATAGATATTTCCATGTTGGAAGTCATGTTGGAAAGGATGTTGGAAATCATGTTGGATATGTATGGGGAGGGGAAAGGAGGGATATCAAAAGGAATACATATATATATATGTATATGATATGTGACTGGGAGCTATTGAGACATCGGCAACATGTGCATCAACTGGTCCTTTGTAAACTTTTAGCCTTAACCGTAACCCTTAAGTCACCACTTCCAGCTCCAACTTCCAGGCTCAGTGGTTTCATAATTCAAACTTCATTTCATTGTCGATTCATTGTCTACAAAAAAAAACATGGACGGCGATCCTTAGTAAGGATGTTCAATTGTGTCAACCGGCCTGGAACACCACCTCGTTTCCTAAAGCACAGTTGCCCGTGTTCCCCTACGTCCTCCAGCCTCTGATAGCCGCTTCACAATGCTACAAAGCAAAGGTCGGTCCTTCTCGTCAAGCAGATATGCCCCGAAATGCTCCGCGTGCGCCACGCGCTGTGGACATCCCAAGTTCAGATCAATGGCATCCACGCGGTCTGCAACATGTTTGGCCGCAGCCAACAAGACTTCTGGATCATTTCCACAAAAGTGGACCACCAGTGGTCTGTCTTCTGGACACGTCTGAAAGCCATTCTCCGCAGCGGCTCTGTATGCAGGATCTCGGGAAAAGGGGCCCGAATAAATCATGGGCGTGTAGCAAAGCTGGGTTCCATACTGCCTGGTCATCATCCGAAATGGGAGTTCTGAACCTCCAACCATAGGAGCTAAGACATAGCGATGTGGCGGAAGGACATGTCTTCTTCCTTCCACCAGCGAGCGTGGCACCGACTCACCGACTCTCCGGTCCCTGCGGCGCTTGGAAGGTCTCACCTCCGCGGCGGAGAGCAGCGCCACGGTCTCATCTTCCCAGCGGACCTTGAGGCGACCGTCGCTCCGGCGCTTCAAGAGGAGGCAGCGGTACCAGGACTCATCCTCCTGCCAATAACCCAGCACTTGGGTGCCAAGCAGTGAATCCATGGCCACACCAAGTTCAGGAGATTGCGAGCTTGAGTTTACTGCAAATGTTCTGGTACCTCAGGCAAAAGCTACTGTTGGGGGATCCTCTGGTTAATTATGCTTTGAGATTACAAGGCGGTTTCAGATCTCCATGAATGGCGTGTCAGTATAATTGTTTTCTCTTCTAAGATTTGGCTCAGCAGGCTGGCTGCGTGGCTCTTTGGTCTTGTTGCCCGGCCCTACGTTCAGGCCTTACAGCCAGGCCCACTTTGCACAGCCCTCACAGCGTGTCGCCAGGGATCGCCCAAGGGATCGACCAGCGGTTTCTTGGGACGGTGCACCGCATATGACAGCACCCCAGTATGGCATCACGGTGACCCGCCCATCACCAAGCAAAACCACAGCAAAACACCCAGCTGGTGGATGATGTCTTTGCACAAAAATAGTATCAGTTATGCACAGCTTACAAGGTCTAAATGATGTCTCAGATGTCGAGTCTTTCCTGGTTCCCTCCACCTATCCAGACCGACCCGCCAATTGAGCCCAGTGGCTCCAAGAGCCCAGCGTCGTCGTCCTCGCGCGCATCGAAGTTGCTGTGGCTTCGCCGCAGTGCACCGTGCATCAGGGCACCACGGCCCAAGCTGAGCAGCGCGCGTCACGCGTCACGCGACGCAACGCGTCACGCGATGGTCGTGGGTTCTGGTGCTCGGGGTTCAGAGCACTGAGAAGCTGGATCGTTTCGGAGGGATAATGGGTCATGTTTGAGGGATATTGAGCATGCGTTGTTTCATTGATTTGGATAAGAAATGGCTCTCTTCTGCACCAGGGTTGAAACTCAGGGCATCTAGCATATGGATACCATAGTCAAAGCTAGACAGCTGGACCTGTCTAGAAACAGAACGGGGCACGACCGCTCTAATAATGGTTGGCAATCAGTCATAAGCAATCACTAGGGGCGAGCGTCAATCACTCGGTACAAGAAAAGCTCCAGCCTCCCATTTGCGATCCACAGACAAACAAGTCGCCAAAATGATATACGTACAAAGAAGCTACTAGTAAGTAAGTTACTAGTAGCTCCTGGCATTACTGCTAGGAGCAAGAAGCTACTAGTAACTAGGAGCAAGGACGCTACTAGGAGCTCCTGGCATTTAGTAACAAGAAGCTACTAGGAACAAGGACATCGCTACTAGGAGCAAGAAGATACACGTAGATCCCTCACCAAAGAAACACACGTACAGAACTTCTCTTGAGGGGTTCCAAGCCAATGAATTTCTCGCATGCATGGCATGCAATGAGCAAACGGGCACCGGAGAATCAAACAGGATGATTAAAATGATGTCACCCCTTGGAGTGAACGACAAGACTCTACCCGTTCTTTGCGGCGATTTGTTCAGTGTGCAGTTTCTGCTGGCCATGGCACAGAATCACTACCAGCAGCAAACAGCCGCATGCTAGCCTTGGCTAACAGAGTTTGTAACGGTAACTGTCCCATGTTCTGCCATGCTATCCCTCCCAAAGTGTCTGTGCAAGCCTCTCTGCAGTCATCCTCTTGGCCTATCCGTGCACCTACCTTTGTCTGACACTTAAGGTACTGCTCCGAGTTTGAGCTGCTAAAATGTGCCGCCAGACTAAGCCCCCTGCGCAACAGCAATATGGTCTTCCCGGGCCTCCTGATGTATCACAGTCTCTTCAAAGTTGAGGTTCCTCAGCACAGCCACGCGGCGTGAGCGAAACCTCCGCAATCAAAGGTGGAAGAGATCAAACATCTCGTGTAATCTGTCAAACAAATGGGTTGACACAGGGGTCCCCGGTCTATTCCATCAACACCAGTACTGACATGCACTCAGTATATACAGTAACTGTAATGACCTGGTCGCGCAAACTTGCACCCAATTCAACGGTATCATTGTCATCCATTGACAAGATGTACAATGTACTCTGCACCTGCTGGACGTCACTTGTGTGTGCGGGTCGGAAAAAATGCGGGGATGCCCCGACCAATGGATCCCTTGGTCTATCTTCCTCGTTCTTTGGGTCGATATGGGAGCCCTCTCTATTCCCACACCCTCACACACCCTCATGCCATCCGGCGACATGTTCATGACCGCGCGGTTCTCGTCGCCCTTGCCGTTGTTGGGTTCTCCCGTTTGCCAGTTTTGGTAGGCCATCGGCGTGCCATCGATCCAGAACCAGTATTCCGACCTGTGCCCAAAGCAACGGCCGCAACGAAGGGTTTCGACATGAGCCAAAACCGCAATCTGCTCGACCTGAAACTTCTTTGAGCACAAAGAACATGTGAGTTGTCATTGGATTGATTTGCTGAACAACTGGAACAACGAACATTCCGAACACCTTTCAGCGTACAAACACCCACAGGGATTCTGCGTAAAGCCTAAACACCCCCGACGCGCAGACCCGTCGGATGGAAGACACAGGGGCCAAGTCCGTTCTGAATTCCAGATCATCTCAAAGTACTGGAGTGCTAGCAGCAGTAGTAGTACCAGGAGCAGTAGTAAAAGCACCAGCAGAGAATCCTTCGCATTTAAAGCATATCAAAGCCGTAGAATACCGAGTTCCTTGCTTCCTTGCCTCCATCTGATTCACAATCTCTTTGTGCTTCAAAACGCGAGGAAAGCATGAACATGCATAAACCCGCATGGCCCATGGCACGAAGTCTTTAGCCAAGGGGCTGCGGATGCTCCAGGAGCCCCAACCAACACATCTGCTGTCCACAAAGATGCTGAACCTCAGACGAAGGGATCCTCTGCTTTAATGATCTTGCAAGGTAGATCATCATATATCCTTTTGATTCTAAATTGCAAACAGTATAATATAAGTAAGTAAACACAACATTCGGCAAACGCGAGTCAATTTTTTGGGGGTGTCGTATCACTCGAGATGGCAAAGCAACAAACCAAAGAAAAAGACATCTGTGAAACAAAGAAGCTACTAGGAACAAGTGCATCGCTTCTGGTAACAAGTGCCTCACTAGTAGTAACAAGCACGCTAGTAGTAACAAGAAGGGAACAAATTCCATTTTTTACTCAAATGGTGTTTGGCCGGTAAATCCGGCCCACGGACCCACGTCCACTTGACCCACGTCCCAAGTTCATCAGTCAGTCCGTCCCTCCTGAATTGGACCAGAAACAAAGATCTGCTCTTTCAGTGTGCCGATGCTCACCAGGTCAGCACCCATGTCCTGGCTAGACATGGTGACATGGTGAGTCTCAAGGAATGGCGCAATCTCAACCCAACCCAAACACCTCGGGGCAAACAGATAGACTCTCAAGCAAGACCTGTGCTTCATTTTCAGGTCTTTCCTTTCTTTGGCCATGGTCTCAACATCAGCCCCCGATTAAGCTGGTGCGTTGGTAATTGCATCGATTTGCAGGGCATCTCACCATCAGAGTTTCCGCTACCTTGTTGGCCGGTCATTGAGAGCTTTCACCAAACCTTCCATTTCTTCTTTGGTGTTATAGTTTCTTGTTACTACGTAGTAGTAATGCCAGGAGCTACTAGTAGCGTCTTGCTCCTAGTAGTAATGCCCATGTTCCTAGTAGTAATGCCCTTGGTGCATCTTGGTGCTACCTCTGCACCTGAAACAACATCTCCGGCCTCGCAGCGCAACATGGCGGTCTCGAAGTCATAGTGCCAGGTGAGCCTCGAGACAAACGAGGCCCGCAGCAAACACCCAGGCCGCGGCCGCAGCAGACTCGAGCGGTCTGAGACCGGCGGGTCCGTTGCTCGGGTCTGAAGAGTCGACCGGGAACAACGGCAAACAGGTTTGGTCGAACGGTCCGGGAAGTGTCGAATGAATCCCAGCTGCTTCAGGTAGCAGGAGTTCTCACGGGCTGACCATCCAGTATCACAAACACCTGCTGTCTTCTTCTTCTCGCAGATTGCCTGAAGAAGACAAAGGATTCAAAATTCTGCTTTACCAGCCAAAGTGCACGTGAATGATCAACCTCTGAATGCGGGGAAATAATCCACAATCACTATCTTTTCACGGGTAGGAAGAGATTGATTTCACACTGGTCAGAGTGCATGTAAAACGATTTTTCAAGACTGTGCCTCTTCCAGAAGAGTAATCATATAGATTCAACCTATATATTATATTAATTCATGCACAGAACACGAAGGCTGGGCTGGCCTTGGGCAATTTTAAGCTCCCTCGCACGTCGTACCAGCGACCACTGGCCCAGTTCAAGGGCTCCTTTCGCTTGTACTCCTCATTGGACGACCCAGTGAAAATGCCGATTTACTGAGTCGCCACAGAAGAAAGAAACAGGAAACCAATGGAAACCAGGATCTGATGAGGTCTGGCTCTTCTTAACTTACGCTTTTCAGCGTAACAGGATGAGACATCTTGAAACCCAATCGGCCGGGCCAGTGGTTCCGTGTGCCCTGTCGCACCAGCATGAAGTTTGTCATTTGTGCAAGTCAAAGGACCTAGCCGACATATATGGCAGATCTGCTGGCATGTCATACTAGGTTTCTCTGTCCTCCACATTGAAGTTCATGATGGCAACCTGTGCAGTTTCATGGGAAAACAAATGGCTTCAACAGGCAACCGTAACGTCAAAGCATGGATGCAAAATCAAATCCTATCAGCACAAACTCTTGGACAGGGCCGGCGCAACATGATTTATGCATAGGTTTCCAGGCTTCCACTGCAACCAAGGACCGGCCTTCTCTGCAGCATGACTGTTGAAGTTGTTCGGCTCTCCTCAACTGCTCTTCGACCCCAACCATCAACCATCATCGAGTAGAAAGCGAATCAAAGTATATATATATTGTATTATATACTGTAACTATTTACCCATTGTAAACGCGCACTTGCATGTACTACAACGCCCATCCATAAAATCAGACACAAATCCAGTGCAACTTCAACTTTCAAGGTGTTATCTTTTGAGCAAACCTTTCCACTCTAAAGAAATGGTAGAAATCTCTAACTGTAGCAGAATAGGTTCCCCAAAGGTTACCACACTGTACCGAGTCTAGAGTTCTAGAATGTTCCACAATGACCAAGCGTCCATCTTGCCAGTTGCTGTAGTCCAGTTCCTTTCCTTCCTGAAGGACGGAGACCGCGGCTGACGACGAGCGAATTCGGGATCCCCATCGTCGAGCCTCTGCTCGGTGACCTCAGCCAGGGCCTTGGGACACTTGTCTCTCAAGAAAACAGAAACATACACACATGATGGTGGTGTGGATTAGCAATCCCAGGAGCCCGCAAATGGTCAAAGAAGGGAAGGGTCTTGACAACAAAAATGCAACAAGAAGGGAAACAGCGGGGACCAGAACGGAGCTTTTGGCTCATCGAGTGGGAGGTCGTTCCTTTTCTCTATCATGTCGTCCTGTTTGTGTTCTGAGCATGTATGAGTTTACAAAAAGGAAAAAATATAAATTTGTAGACCAGCCATCATCATGACCAACCAACCCCGGCTGATGGTCCCACCGACCCACCGACGCCAGGCAGGGCCGGCCAAGGTTCCGTCCAGCTCCAAACCGCAGAGCCTTGGTGTCGGCGCAGGCCCAACCAGCAGAAGTGATTGCCACCTCAGCGCCACCGTCGCAGCGCCGTCGAAGTTCGCCGGCAGGGCTTCCCTCGCTCTGGGGATGGGATCCTCTGACTAGGGGGAATCCTGGGAATCCTGGTCGCGCCAGGTGAAGAACGCGTGGCGACGGCGCTAGCGGCTGCTAGCGGATGCTTTCTTGCAAGATTTCAAGAGCCGAGTGGCAAAGCTCACGCAGGAACCTTAGCAACACTTGTCATGGTGAACTATAAAGACACTCTCCAACACTAACAAAGGCGAACGCAAATTTCAGGCTGGCAAAGAAGTAACGAACTAAGATGACCTGGTGTGTTAGCTTCAATCTAGCTCAGGTGATTTGTAGTTATGTTGAGCTTATCACTACCAAGCCTCCCGCATAGTTGTGTTGAGGTTATCACTACCAAGCCTCTCTCGGCATACTTGGCAGTCAACAAAAACTGGCAGTATGTTTTTTGCCAGCGGCTATCCTGTACACTGTACACCACCAACTTGTTTAGCACCAGGCCACTGATTCGTTGTCCCATCCTCCACTGTGACCAGCAAACTGTTGTGCTCGAGACAACGCTGGGAGGCTGTGTTGAAGTCCGACAAATGGAAAATCAGCTTGTAGCAACTGTCCTTGAAGGCCTCGACAAACGTCGGCAATAAACCCTCCGAATCCTTCTGAAATGGTTTCAGGTTCTGGGCACTGATGAAGGCCACAATACGCTTGAGCTATGGCAGGTGTGACATGTGGAAGGGATGGCATGAAACGATCCCGGCCGGGATGGCTCACAGCATGCTGTGGCATGCTGTGGCTGTGATTTTTCTGAACATGGCACCTGAAGATCCGATACCAAAGGAAGTTCATCCTTTCAGAGGTACTCGATTCGAACAACTCCAAAAGCATTACAGAAAGTACTTCTGAGATCTTCTGCCCACGGGCCAATTCTTCCCTTGTTCTCCATGCCTTCCATCCAGGTTCGCACTCCTGGCGGAAGTGTTGACAAGAGTGACCTTGTCTACATCAGGCATGAGCTTTCCCAGAGTACTCAACAAAGCCCAACCGCTCCGCTCACTCGTTGTTCTTTCGCTCGCCTGGGCCGAGCTCGCTGCTTGGCACAGGGGGAGCGCCAAATTGAAGGTGATCGGCACGTCGTACCTGACGAACGTGTGCGACGATGCACATGTGCTCTAAATGGCTCGATTAGATTGTGAATGGTCCAAGCCCGGTGTCAAATCTGCGGAGCCAGTAGGAGCCCAATGAATTGAGATGAAACTCCCAAGGCACCATCCTTTCAAATTGAGCAAAAGAACAACGGACGGACGTGGACATCTGTGGACATGCGTGGAGATGCGTGGACATGCATAGCATGTGGGCACCATCTGCCATCAGCCCAGCTGACAGCGCCAGCAAGGGGCTCCTGCGCAGCATTTCAGTGGCTACAACATGCAAACAATTGCTCAAGTACTCCTCTTTTGCACCCATACGTAGATGCACATGCCATGATTATATAAATGTTGTTTCTAGGAGAACACCACTAACCTAGAGGCTTCGGAGTTTTGGCAAAGGCAAAGGAACAACCCAGGGACAAGTTGCGTATTGGTGTTGTTGGTGCTTGGATGACGGGTTCAATATGGTTCAATGCTTCATTATGGATGCTTTCGCCCCGAGCCAGTCTTGACTCATTGTAGCAAGCAGCAGCAGTGTCTCAAGCTGCGGCACACGAAACTTTTTTTGTAGTTGTTCCCAAATAGATAGTGGAAAGGTGTCCAATATACATTTTTAGTGGGGATCTACTTCTCTATATCTATTCTATTTGGGGGTCTATTTCTAGCATTTCTAGGTGCGCTGACAGGATGGCTTAAGTCCACACTTCAATAACATGGAAGGTTAAACAAAGAGTACAGAATACGCCGGGCGGCTTCCATGTTAGTGCTGAACATGGGGGGTCCATGTTAATTATATACTATACATAGTCTTGCTTGCCAGTGTTTTTCACAGTTTCCCTAACATGGAAGGCAAACATGTAGGTCTGCAGTTCCAGCCTTTTAATAGGCCCTTTTTTCGAACCGTCCGTGTATATGTGCAGGGGTGTAAAGGTGCTCAAGGCATTGGATATGTAGATTGTTGAGACACTTCTCTCCAACAGCCAAAAGCAAAGTAGGAGAGCTGACCTACTTAGCTTCTGCTGTCGACTGCGGAGCATCCAGCATTCCCTTCATGAATCAGGTTGGATTCTCCGCAAGCCCACGTCCTGCTGTCGATTGTTCATCCTCTGCCATGCTGAAGTACGTTGGCTCCTGAAGCGCATCATCTTGGACCCAACGCCACTACTCTCTGAAGCAGAAGGCATCCTGGAGCTGAGGCAGGAGGACAAGAAGAACAACAGAAGGACAAAATGATGACACCAAGCAAAAGACGACTCGCTGCTGTGGACACTGGACAGAAGTGGAGAAGACCTGGACATAACTCGGACAATTCATGGACGCGGGAAGGAGGACAGCAAGTGGACAACAGCACCAAACCGCCGGGGTGCTCCTGATCCACGTCGCTGGTGCCTTTCGCCACGCCTGCCGGAATGAGAAGGACACACACACACACACCAGCGCTGCCGTTTTTTTGTGCATCTCTTGAAAATCTTGAAGAAACTCTGTCTCACTGTGTGGCTTTGCCGGACTAGTTTTGGGTTTGCAACTTGTTCTACATGGTTTCCAGCTATCATACTCTACAGTATATAAAAGACTCTAGCCTAGCAAAATATGTCCCAAACGTCCACTCCCTCGTCCTGGCGGAGGTTCAGGTTCATGATGGCGCGGTTCTCATCCACACCAGCTGGCGCGGTTCTCCCGTGGATTCGTGGACAAAATCTGACCAATCGTGGATCAGCAATGCAACAAATGTCAAATGATGATGTCTGAGTTCAATCTGCAAAAATAAATCAATCAGAAAAAAAAAAAAAAAAAACAATGTCCCTGCGTTTTCAGCAGTTCTCAGGTGCTGGGTCTCTCGTCCAATGTTTGGATCCAACGCAACGAACACGAGGGGAGATTTGTTGGATGATTTGGGTATTCCAGGCAACCAGCACGACCAGGCATCCATCAGTGCAGTTTGCAGAATCGACCACGTCCAGAACGTCATGTGTCACGTGTCGTCCACATTCTGTGAACAAACCGCATGATTCACATGATTCAATGAACTCGGGTGGTTGATCTCCCTTGTGTGATTTGAAGGTCTGGGAGCCGCACCAAAGTTATTGGGCTCTCCTTGTTGCCAGTGTTCAAAGGACAAAGGGCTCCTTAGCACTCAGTTGGCCTCCGGTTCAGGTCCAATGAACATGCTCGGGTCCGGCAAGTCGGTGAGACGCCACTACGTTGGTCAGCTGAGGCCGAAGCCCATCGATCCAGTGCCAATGCTCAGACCTGTTCGGTCGCGAAGTGGCCGATCCACACATAGCAGCGACATGGAACGGATCTTCTCATATGGCCAAATGATGCCAAATGTCTTGTTTTCTGCCGCCTGCTCAACAATTCACCCAACCAACCATCGCTGTATCACCTGCCTTGCCCAGTCACTCCTACATGTGCTGTGTGGTGACTGGTCGCTTTCTTCTGAGCCTCCACACTCAGGAGACTCCTCCAATCCGAGCCAACACATGTTCTCCCCACAGAGTTGTTGCACCTGACGAGTTTCTCTCTCAGCGCTTCGTTTGTCTCTTCATCTCCCAGGCAGCTTGGTTTCACACTCTTGGACGGTACAACAGTGTACCCTTTCCAGAAGCTGGGAGCCATTCTGTTGCACAATCCTCATCCGTGGTCCAAGGTCCATCCAAAAAGCTGAAGGAGAGAAAGGATGCTTGATGAGAGACATATCTCATCTCTGCCATGCCTTTTCCAACATGGCAGCCCTTTCCCACGCCAAAGATCTAAGAAGCCCCACAAAATCCTGTTCTTCGCCAGAGCCAATGCTTACCAAATGCGCAGAG